GAAGAAGAAGAAGAAGAAAAAGAAAAGAGGTAGTTTCGTCGGGAAGGACGGAATTTAATAAACTGTAACACGGCCGACTGTGTACGGCCCCTCGAGAAGTTTTTTGCGAATCGAAAGCCGTAGTCAATTCAGTTTACCACGAAAGGTTCAATCAAACGCATACATTGGCATTTTCACATCTCTCAGATAGAGCATTGTTATCGCTAGTCAGACAGATTTTATTGATCGTGAGAGAGAGCACGCCGGCGGATCAACGAAACGACGATAATATAATAAAACGCCATGATATTCCAGATAACGAGTGTAAAGAGTGTTATAATTTTATCGCTGTTCCGGTAAAATACGTAAAGTAGATCGATTGTAAAAATGCATCGAGTAAACGACAAAATCAAAATACACATTAATCGATCATCACGCCCGCGACTAACGAATGGGAATTTTATCGAAGACGAAGGAAAATGATCGATAACGAAACGGAGCTTCGTTCATGAGCAAACATTCCAAAAAATTTAAAAAAGAGAAAAAAAAAGAGAGAGAGAGAGAGAGAGAGAGAGAATCGTGTCCCCACCTTCGTGTTTAAAAATGTGTCTCCTCGTCCTCTCCACCCTCCCCCCCCCCCTCTTCACCCTGTTTTAATGAATTGAAACCCACTTAAGCCGTGTTGAAGAAGAAGAGAAATCGTATTAGAAATTCCGTGTTATTCGATGTTGAAAAGTAATCGTAGCACGTTACGATGTGACACGTATTCGGTGAAACGGCTGAGAATAATAATTGAAACGCAGGCGAATTCACATATGTGAAGTTCTTTCTCGCGCGCGCCTTGTACACACACGATCTTTAAACAGACACGTCGGGATTTTCACGATTTAACGACGAAAAGATTAAGGAAACAAGAAAAGATGAACAAAGAAAGAGAGGCGAATAAGAGAATAACGAAATGTACAAAGCGAACTATATAATTTTATACGGAAATCGGTATGTAATGATTTTACTTGAGATCCGTGAAACGTTAAAAAAAAAAAAAGAAAAAAAAAAAGAGAGAAAAAGGGAGATAAATCTCGTGCGCGACACTGAAATTCTACGTTTAGAACCAACGACGTATATTGTTGTATAAAATTATTCTCTGACAACCTCTAAACTCTCTTCATGCGACAAATAATCCTAATCCTTCGTTGCTTTGACGTTTTTGCAGTTTCAGAACAGTATTTTTCTAGGCGAATTGTTTGTATTATCACGCGATACACGATCACACATACTTTACATGACACACAATACGAATGTGCGAATTCGTGAAAATCGATTTCGAAGGAAAAAGAAAGGAATGCATCCACGTAATTTCATTATGTATATGTATATGTATATGTATATGTACACATATACATACATATTTTTATCGTTTCAAGTACATATTAGCTAACGATGAATTATTTTGTTTCTTTTTTTTCTTTTTTGCCCCCTGAGAAACGTTTCATTTTTTTTCTTTTTCTGTTATTACATTTGGAGATAACGCGAAACTTCAGAAACGATTGAAAGTTAAGAAACCTACTTCACACGGGAATGTTTCATTTCTGCTCTCGGAGGAGAAACAGTTTCGAGGAAAAAAGATATATCGTTTAATCGTTTGATAAGAAGGAGATGTATAGAACGTTTTCAACTGGCCGTCCTACATAGAATATGGCGAATGTTAAATATATTATTTGAAAGCTATCCTACGTATTGCCATAACTTATTGATGCGTGTAAATTGTAAACAGATGATCCAACATTAACTAACGTTGAAAGGTAATAACGAAATGTAACACGCAATAATTTTTGTAGACCTTATGTTAATAAAACCGATGTTAATAAATTCTTCCATAAATTCCTATTGATTCGTGTGTACAAAATAATTTGTAGAAGGAATGGTAAATTGGTGTGGTGAATCTGATTAAAATTAAAAAGAAAAATAAATGAATAGATAAACGAAAAGAAAAAAGGAAACACTAAACTTACCGTACTGACGATTGATTTATGTACATCGCAGTATCTGCGTGTTAATTTTATGCAACTGTAATAGAAAAACGTTAAGAATGAACAACAGTGAAACGAT